ACAGCTAAGGCTTTTTTTAGGCCCCACACCGAGGACCACGTCGCCAAGTCACCGACTCATCATGTTTCAAACACCCTATACCTATACTACAGTCAAACTACACGTTGGCATCCACTTTTTTGTTCCAATGGCCACTTTTGGGCCAATTTTATATGCATGTCACCCCTGACTCCAAGCACATTTTCACTCGAAGCAACACACCTGCAAGATCAAATTCAGATTTTTGGAGTGTGGGAAAGCCTTGGAAATTAGGATGTATTTGCAGTACACTGGAAAATAGAGCAACAATTATAATTGCGAAGAAATGCTTGTGGAGGCTCTCAGTCGTACAGGAAAGTTCCATCGTAGAAAGGGTTCTGCCAGTCGTCATCTGTACCTGTGGGTAAAAAACAAAAAACAAAAAAGGACGTTTCGCTTCTCTCACAGAAGCTTCGTCAGCGGTAGACAACCCTGAAGTCTCCGTGAAGACTCCGGGAAATTGCTCTGCGCTAAAAAGCTGAGCGTGGCCTATTTGAGGACTGGGTGGGGATGGTTAGTCACGCCCCTATGGTGAAGAGGCCCATTGATTTCTAAATTCCCTATCGTTGGGTCTTGATTAGGCCTATTGTTTGGGCTAGGGCTGAATAGCTACTTTCAGTTAGCCTGATCAGCATGTCTATGTCCCTTGGTGGTCAACAAGTTATTGTAAATAGGAGACAGGTTAAATCTGATACCTCCTTCACGGTTCAGAGAGGGTGAAAAATTTTTGTTAAAAAATTTTTTGTTAAAAAATTTTCACCCTCTCTGTAATGTCAGCTTCATTATTCATCAGCAGTCAGAGCAGATATCAACATTCAGGCACCTGCACCCCAAAAATGGCTGAACGGAAGGTGGGCGCTGACAAAAGGGGGCTAATGTTAACTGTCGGTAGGCCAAACGATGACGTGTGGTAGATTCTTTGGTCAAATTGATAGTAGATTACACAGTGCATCATCTTGGGGTTGCAAAGAGGACATCAAGCCATGTCAATACTATAAGTCTGTATATAGTCCTGTAATAAGGTTATTTTTTTAAAAGCTTCAGCACATGATCGTAATCATTCAATTCCTATTACATGCTTTTGTATAATAATGGGGGTGAGTAGCCATTGATATTATGTTTATTTACATAAATAATACACACGCGCACACACACACACACACACACACACACACACACACACACAT